TCTCCTTGGACACCTCAAATCTCCCCAAGTCCAGCCACTGGAAGGGTTAATACCTGGCAGGAGACCCAGCTGAGCTGATGATGAGCGGCTGTTGTCCATTTGTACTGATCACTGTCCAAGTCTCTCAGGGTGTTAGATATTTTGGAGGCTGCTCCTGCATCATTAGGGTGTTAAAGGCATGATACACCAGACCAACATAGGTTACTCCAGTTGCTACAAAAAACCTTCCAGTCTAGTGGTCCTCAGACTTGAGCACGCAGCAGAATCACCTAGACGGCTAATTCAGACACATATCTGGGCCCCGCCCCCGGGATTCTGATTCAGTAGATCCAGGATTCGACCTGAGGATTTGCATTTCTCACAATTCCCAGGGCATCTGCTGACGCCGACGCTCCCAGGACCTCTGTTGCACGGACAGCTCCCTGATAGAAACGTTATCTCTAGAACAGAGCTTCGCAAACACCAGTGTGCATAAGGATCACGTGGGGAACCTTCCAATACAGGTCCTTATTCAGTGCATCTGGGACGGAGCCTGAAGGTCTCCTTGTCTGTCAAGATCCCAGGTGATGCCAATGTCTGTGCACTTGAATGGCGAGGTCTTAGGGTGAGAGTTCGCGCTTCTCACCCCCATAATGAAAGTCCTAAACATAGGAATCCTTTATCCTTTCTGTGCACCCTTCCCTTCTTATCCTCCTTTTTTTTATTTGTTATTCTTTCGTTGTCGTAGTTGTTCCTGTAGCTTCTTTCTCTTTTTTTAAACAAACTCCCAGGTGATGCTGATACTGTTAGTCCGTGAACATGCTGAGTAAGTAGTAAGACTCTTTAATGTGTCTAATTCTACACCTCGACTGCAGCGCACTTGAGAACAGCCCCGTCTTTCTCTCATCGGTATCCTTGAACTCCTCCCCATCAGCCCTCAACTAACACCTAAACCAACACAAAGAGGAAGATATCACCAGAGCATTAGGTAAGAGAGAATAAACCGGCTTTTTTTTTCTCCCTTAGGATAAAACTAATAACCATCTGAGTTTAGTATTAAACAGTTCTCTAGCTACGTCTGTGGTCCTTACCATTTTGGTGTGTCTCTGACAGTTCCGAGGTGGACTGCAAGTAATGTCTGTGAATGATTTCTTTCTTTATTTTTATTTTTTATTTATTCTTTTCAAAGCCTTTTTTCACTTTGCCCCCTTTTGCTCTTCCTCCCTCCCATCTCCTCTCACCAACTGTCTTTTCCTCCTTTCTCCCTTTACTCCTTTTCTTTCCACTCTTTTTTCTTGTCGATGTTTTCAAGATTTCAAATTCCCAACCCACTCTCTGGATTCCACCCCTGGATAATTTTTTTTTTTGATGCAACCCTAACTTCTCAGAAAGCGACTCCACCCAGACTGTTTTGGAGCTGCATGATTCCAACAATGCGGTCATGAAATGAGTCTAGGAAAATATGTGTGCATGCTTGTCGGGGAAACAAAGCAAGCAGTCAAGTGCGAAGGGAAGTGCTCTTTTCTAGAAAACGCTTGACCGGGAGCTTTCTTCCAAGACTAGAAATTCGCCCTGCTTACCAACTAAGCGCTTTCTCTGCAAAACATTAAAAAGATGCCTGTTTTTGTGAACTTGGCTGTTTCCTGGATTTTAATGGTGCTCAATTCTAGCTGGGAATAAACAGACTTCTGTGATCCATCCTCTCCCTGCCCTTGGGCTGGGCAAGCTGCTTAGTGGGTAATTCGACGGAAAAGTCTGCAAGCCCTAGCATGGAAGACAGAAGTCCTGGCCCCGCCTTGCTCTATTTCCAAGAACCCAGGGATGTGGCAGGAGTTTGTTGGTTCAGTAGCTGCGCCTGAGAGTTAATTCTGTACTATCTCCTCTCCAAATGCAGTGGAGAGAAGTTCAAGAAGAGCTAATTCCTAAGGGGAAGGATGGTAGAGATGATAGATGTCTTCTTGGTGCAGAAACAAAAGGAATTCACTGAATTCAGTTCATCCAGTGCTAGGTGACTTGCTAAGGGACCTGCAGATTACAGCTGCCCCTGTACTCCTCCCTATCTGACAGGTGACCCGGATTTAATTTCTAAACTAATTCCAGCTGGGATAAGTTATCTAAGCTTGCTGTACCTCGAGTAGAGTGGCCACAATCGTTTAACAGATAGTTGCAAAATAACATAAGATGTTGCCTAGAGCGGAACCCACACTTCAGAAGAGTGGTTCTCAAGCTGGGGCTTGGAAGACGTTCAGTATATGTCAACATCTATCTTTCCTTCTTGAATGAAAAAGAAAGAAGAGAGGAGATGATAAGACCTTTAGTGTATAGCCATGAATACAGCTCCTGGCTGTGATGGTCGACACAGCAAAATCAGGGGTCTCAAACTCGAGCGCCAAGAGAAGCCAAGCAAGGGCTATTAATAAGTAAAGCACCTGAGGGACAAAGAGAAAAAGAATAAAGCAGACAATGGACAAAGACTTTAGAAATAGTTCAAATACCTATTGTAGTAGAAAACCAATGGCTGGATACACACAACAAAAATGGCATCTTGTCCCTCCACCGCGAGTTCTCAGAGCAATAGAAGATGGTGGGGACAGAGCTCAGCTGGAAAGAGCACCCCCTTTTCTAGAGGGGCAGCCACTGCTCTCCACCTGACAGTGTTCATGCAGCTCAGGACGAAAGGCCCAGCATTGTCAGATCTTATGACTTGTTTCAAGATGAGTAAGAGGTTTTGTTTGTTCCTAAAACGCTCTAGTTTATAGATGTTGGCCAACCCTGTGGTATGACCAACACATTGGGGCCATCGAAGGGCTTGTGGACGTGAGGTTTCAACCTGTGTGCTGCTTTTCCTTTTCCGAGTTCTGCCAGCTCAGAAGGGGGCATGCTGACCTGCTGTTTGCTTTCTGTTCTTTAAGAGGTAAGAAAACCCTTTCTGACATAGAAACTTGGAAAGCCAGGACGGTGCGTGCCTTTGCCGGCTCGGGCTGGGGGTTGCACACACCTGACTAGGCTTCTTTCTATCTGCTAGTTCTCAACATAGTCCTAGGATGTGAGCACTATCTCTGTTTTGCAGATGGAGGAATAGAAGCTTAGATAAGCAAAGCTTTGCTCAAGAGCTCACAGCAGCAACACTCAGGTTTGAAACCAAACTGTTTTATCCCAGGTCGGTGCCTCTCATAGATCGTCAAGTGGAAGGATAACATTTGTCTGAGTCTCACTAAAGCTCATTTTTCTTCCACGTTCTCCCTTAAGAAATATTAGGCAGTTGGGGAGGCTCGGGAAGAAATTTAGATTACTGAACTGCCAGTTGGTAAATAGTTATTTCACAACATTAATGAATATTTTGAGTCTGGACATATTGGAGGCCAGAAATTAAATTCCTCAATCCTAAAGGTAGATTTCTGTCTATTGTTATGTACCTTGGGTGAGAAATTTTTAAACACCGATGATGATATTGAGTCATACTTCTTGCAATTTGACCCAAATAAAGAAATTTCTATAATACTGCATCTTAATGTTTTCCAGGTGAGTATCAGAAGCCCCAGCTTAATTCAGTTTAAACTATAAAGCAACTCGCTATCTGTGGAGTTGAAAATTCCAGGCTTAGATGGAGCTTCTGGTAATGTTTCATCCAGCGACTCAAGAAACCCAAAATTCAGGTTTCCTCTGTGTCACCTCTCTGCTTTCTGAAATATTGGCCTTAAACAAAAATTGAGTTCCTGTGTGTTTTGTTTACAACATCTTGCTTGTAGCCAGATAAAGAAAGAGAAACTCTAACTGACACAAGGGCTCGGAATCGCTTTCTCTCACTTTCTTGTTCTCTCTTTACGAACCCTTGGCCTCAAGACAGGATCGTTGGTTAGATTAAGATAATCAGGGTCGAACTCTGGATTTAGGGTTAAATTCATCCCGTACAAACTGCATAGCTGCTATAAAATAGAGGAAGGATAAATTTGCCCACAGGAAAACCAGTGTATTTGGGGGGAGAAAGTGGAGGAAATGAGTGGTGGGCAGCAACTGACGAGTATCTGCCGGCAAAAACACAACTTGGCCGAAGCCACACAGAAATATTCATCGTTCATGTGTCATTTCGCTCATACAAAAAGGAAAGACAGATAGCTCGTTCCTGAGAGACCTGACGGGAGGTATGGAAAAAACCAGAAAGAAGGATTTTGCTGTTTTTTGTTTTACAGTAGAATTCTGCTATTTCTCACTTTGTCACTGTTGTGACGCCGAGGGAGAGTGGAGGAACACTGGTCATGGCCATGTTTGGGTTTTTTTCTGACACTGAATTCTGGAAAATGACGAACCACCCTGTGCAGGCTTTGGCAAGCTGCTGCTATTTTTGTAATGCTCAGCAGCTAAAATGTTGATATTTTTTAAAGATTGTGAAAACAGAGAATAGAAGACAAAAACTCCATGTGATCCGTGAAGCCCCAAATATTATCGGGGTCTTTGCAGAAAAAGTTTGCCAACCCCTGATCCAGTCCATAAAAGTGAAATTTCCTTACCTCTTAAGTAATTGGAGCCAAAGAACCCAGTTTAGGGACTCTGTGACTCATAAAGCCAAATTTATAGGAAACATTATTATAGGATTAAGGCTTTGGTGTCTTTCTCCACTGCAAAATAATCCCTTAAAAATCCTAAGTGAAAATAACTCATCTGTTAAAGATTACCTAGCTTATTGTTCATTTGGTGGTGGCAGGGGGTGGAGGAGGGGAGGGCGGGGCTTGGAAATAGGTGATAGAAGATTAAAAGGAGACAGGCACGTCACTGATCTGGCACACCAGGCCAGCAGTTGGCTGATTCTTGGCTGACCACACACTGACTAACTAGTCATGGCATAAAAATGAAATTAGCTCCAGGCCTGCCAGAGTGCCAGGTTCTGAGATGTCATGTTTAATGATGTCATAGAGAACTTACCCTTAGGTTCCGGCAAGGACCCTATAATTACTAAGAGACAGCTACGGTGAGCCAACTAACCCAACAGCAAGAGCTTGGTCAGCAGTTCCCAGGCGTAAATCATGGTGCAGAATATCAGAGACATGGCAAGTATTTTTTTGGCTTCAAGGAGTATTTCAAAAGAGACCATCTTGAAAACAGATTTGATAAACTTTCAGAATTATTTCCTTTGTTGCTCTGTAACAAGAGATTTTTTAAAAATTTTTTATTGAAGTGTAGTTGATTTACAAAGTTAGTTTCAGGTGTACAGCAAAGTGATTCAGTTATACATATACATACAGGTATATATTTTCTTTTCAGAATCTTTTCCATTATATGTTATTATAAGAAATTGAATATAGTTCCTTGTACTATACAGTAGATCCTTGTTTATTTACTTTATACATAGGAATATATATCTGTTAATCCCCAACCCCTGATGGATCCCTCCCTGCCCTTTCTCCTTTGGTAACCATAGTTTGTTTTCTATGTCCATGAGTCTATTTTTGGTTTGTAAATAGAATTTGTATCACTTTTTTTTAGATTCCACATATAAGTGATACAGTATTGATATTTGTCTCTCTCTGACTTACTTCACTCAGTATGATAATCTCCAGGTCCATCCATGTTGCTGCAAACGGCATTATTTCATTCTTTTTTATGGCTGAGTAGTATTCCATTGTATATTTACACCACATCTTCTTTATCCAGTCATCTGTTGATGGACATTTAGGTTGTTTCCATGTCTTGGCTATTGTATATAGTGCTGCTGTGAACATTGAGGGACATGTGTCTTTTTGAATTACAGTTTTAAGAGGAGATTCTTTTTAATGCTTACTCTTCATGTTGTTTCTTGAAAGATAGTGCTCTCTAGGGAGTAGCCAAGAGAAAAATTGATCAAAAAGACTTTTATGCCTTCCTGCTTCTCATTTCTTGCTCTGACTCTAGCTGGATCCAGGCCAGCTCCTAACATATCCCATCCTTACCTGATCCCACTGATTTTACCTTAGCTGTACCTGGAGAATTTTATGGAAGTAAAATAGTCCACGTTTGCCGTACCCTAGGAAAGAGAACAGAAACTCCAGACATGCCTATAGAGTAGGGGCAGGAAAAGTGATGGCCAAGGGCTTCAACAGTTCCTTAGGTGGTATTTTTTATAAAGCTAGTTTCCATTTATTGTCCAATGGCACTGCCATAACAAATCTAAATACATATATAAGCCAGGGATAATTCTGTTTATCAAGAAGAAAATTGCCTCTAAAAGAGCAGTCAGGGGCCTACATCCTTTACAGGAGTGGGCATTAGCATCCAGACTTGCTGACTCCGACCTCATTACAGGAGGGCCAGGAGCTGGAGGGAAGGGGGTCACATGGGGCCCAGGCCTTCCATCTCCCAGCATCCTCAGACTTAAGACTTTAAACACTTTGTCCAAATGTACCTGTATGTAAGGTCACAAATATGAGACTGACTAGACTGAAAGGAGGCATTGCCATGTAACTTTGATATAAGAAAATGTTTTCAAATAGCACACTTGCTAACAATTTGAGGTTTTCTGTTTTGTTTTGTTCTGTTTTTTTCTGAGAATCTCACAGAATATTTGGGTCTCACTCATCCTCTGAGAAGCCCTCTCCATCTGCTCCACAGGGACCTATCATGAGAGCCTATAGTCTCCTTTATGTCCTTATTTAAATGTCACATTGAGTTGGACCTTGGCCACCCAGACTGCACTTGTCATCCAGCTCCCATCCTTCCTTCCTTCTCTATGTTTCTCCTTTTTTCTTTATTGGCAGTGATCACTAACTCATTATATATTTTACTCATTAATCTTACCATTTGGCTTCCCCTCAGCTGTGAGTTCCACAAAGGCAGGGGTTGGAAAGCTTTTTCTTTCTGTCCACAGCTTATCCCAGCAGCGCACCCCATTCCTGGTGTAGAGCAGGCCTCGGGAGGTACATGTGGAATCACTGTGTATACAATGGGATGTTCCCTTCAGAGAACTTGGCCAGGTCCAATTCATAGGACCAGCTAGGCTAGTCACACCCTAACAACTACTGGGATGTGAAACGAGTCCAGGGGCTCGTGAGGACAGCATCTACCTTATAACTTCAGAAGCAAGTTAGAAATGGAGGCTTGGCCTGGCTCTGTGCAATGTTAATGGCCCCTCTCTTAGAGGAATATTGGTAAAGGAAGAGAGTGTCTTTGAGCCATCAGTCCCACTCACTTGAAAGAAAGCCATTTGGCAATGTAATTGTCAAAACTCCCCTCTTATAGAGTGTATGACATCTGTGAATAAACCCCATCCCTAATCCAGTGATAGGCGCTGATTTACTTACTTCAGAGAGTGAGCCCATCCCTCCATCTTAATCAGTGGTCCAGGGATGAACACAGCATTGCATTTGAGCCAGAGAGAGGAAGAGTGAGCCCCACAGCTGTGAAGAACTCAGGAGATGATTTCGTATAGCGGTTAAGAAGATGGACTCTGGAGTCAAGCTTACTAGGTTAGCAATCCCAGCTACACCACTCACCAGCTGGTTGACCATGAGAAAGTTAATAAAGTTAGTTTTCTCATCTGTAAAATGGGGGTAATAATAATAATACCCACTCCATAGGGTGGGTGTAAAGATTAAGGACGGGAGTACCAGGCAGGGAGTAAATTAGGTACTATCTTGCAATTCCAATGAGAAAAGGAAAAATAAAGCTTGAACAAAACAGTATATAGCAGCAAATTATTCACTCATCAACTAAACACTCCATGAGCACCTACTGTGTGCCAAGAAGGGGCCGCGGAGGCGCAGGAGTGAATCAGGATTGTGTTCTGTAGGGACTTGTTGGGAAGACAAGCCATGTATGAACTAACTGGTGTAGGAGAGCTATTGTTTGGAAAGCAATCAAGCGTAGTTACCGTGATCTGAGGCCCCAAGAAGGGAACCCTTACTTTGCTTAGATGATACAGACAGCTGATGGTAAATTCACCTAAGACATTCAGCAAGAAGCGTGTCTAATCCTTAAATGGATGGTTTTCACTATAGCTTTTTAATAACGATCAGCCCCCCCAAACACCAAACGAGACAAAACCAAGAAATGATTCAAGGTGTTAGGTTACTTCTTTTAAATTTCACTCTCAAGGCATGTTTAGGTCCTTGTTTACAAAAATCGAATATAGATGCCCACTTTGAAGAACCGTTCATCACCACCCTCCACCCCTCATCTCTCGCTGGTCAATCCCGATTTCTCCCCAGAGGTATCCAGCCATTACCACCACCATTACCAATCCATTTGGGAAATGGAATTCTAATCTTTTTTTGTGGGTTTATTGTCACTTATATATAGTTAACAGATAAAAATATACATGCCCTCAGGGACATTTAGAAATGGTTGGGCCCCCGGGACAACATGGGGGTGAGGCACCATAACTCAGCTGTCATTTTATTCCCTGCAAGACTTTATGATGATACCCATTTCCTCATTTATGTTCTGGTCTCAGGATGAATTAAGAAAATTTTTGAAAGCTGCTGGAACGAATCTTGTGGTGGTTGAATTTTCAGCAAAATGGTGTAGTCCTTGCAAAAGGATTTATCCTCTTTTTCGTGTAAGTATCATCAGTATCTTTTTCACACTTTTAGAAGGAATTTAAAGTTCCCAAATTGTTCTGCCAGTAAATCTTCAAAGTTGGCTCTTATGAGCCATTATGGAATCATATTTCTGGGAAGCATCCTGATAAATCTGAAGGTAAAAGGCTAAGATCTAATAGATCATTCGTACAGACATCGGAAGATTAGTACTACTTGTTGACGGATGATTCTGCAAGGAACATCAAGACGTGAAAAAATAAAGAGTACAATTGTACAAGAAACAGATTATTCATAATAATGACATTTTACCAAAGTTCCAGAGTTCAGAACTTCCAAATATCGGAATAGATTCAGCAAAACATGATACTTGTTTTTAACCATAGTGTAAAAGAATGAACTGCCCCCAATCCTTCAACACTATTATCAGAACAAATCCTGAGTCCTACATATTCCCTTCATGTCTGATCTACTTCATGAAATAATCTAGTAAAATACACCACTTAGTTGTAATTGAATATTTATATTCAGATCTTTTTCCACATATGTGTTGGTTCATATTTTTATCGTCTCCCGATTATAATTTTAATGTCTCTACAATGTGTTATCTAGTTAATTTTCCTACTGCCCCATTTAAGAGTTGTCCCATTTTATTTATTTTTGGTGAAACATGCTGCGGAAAGAAACTCTGGGTATTTCCATTTCTCCTTACTGTGCGGAAGTTTCACGTTTACAATTTTGTGAATTTTATTCCTTCAAATACAAAGTTTTGACTTCTCTACACAACTGAAAATACGCTGGCTTTTGGTTTTTTGC